CGGTAATAGAGACATATTTGCCGCACGGGCCGACGCATTATAGGCGTTATGACACCTTAAGCCGCAACCGCCACCTTACTCCTTAACATCCGCTAACGAGACTGCATCTGCAAGCTCACTTTCTGTCAGGGACGCCTCGCCTAGCCTCGCTTCGCCTGCAATTCGCGCGACGCGCTTATTAAGACCTGAATCATTCGCTTTATCGCGTTCGCCGCTCGTAACGTAGATTTTTCCCCATTCGGAGGTGCAATATGATCGCGAGAAGCGATCGTGAACGTCCTTAGCGTGGTCCATCGATGATGAACATTCTCGTCCTTTCTTCGATCGATCTAGCCGACAGATTGTTTCTTTAATCATCGGCAAGAAAGTAGGATCTCTCCGACAATTGAATTGTATATTTATATTATATCCGGATTAATCTGGAGAAGATTTCACTCACAAATTGTACATCAAACAGTCGACAGGAGCCTTTTAGCTGATATATTGAATCCTTAATATATTAATTCATAGTAAGAATCAACGGAACCTTGATTCATTTCAGATTTTCCTTGGACGGAGTCTTAGCTTGAAATGGAGTTGAACAATTCGTAGAAAAGAAAAGGAAGAAAGAAACTGGGAGAGGACATAATGGAGACTGTCGGGGTATCCGATAATAAGATAACAATGTCTCAGTTATTAAACACACCGCTCCGTGGAAAGACAGACGAGCATGTATGGGCCAGATAAAGCGTATACGAGCTATTCGTGGAAAATACGTCAATTCCCACGCAGTCATTATTATTATTTTATCCCCCTTGATCGGAGCTTCGGCACGAACGTGCCTGAACATCCGATAATTTCACACAATCGCACGACGATTCCTCTCGCGAAACAAACGCCATCGGCGTGGGACGCATTACGTGGAAGCCATTAAAATCGCACGACTCGAACGCACTTACTCGTTGAAGCAATAAAACGAACGTACGGACGAATGATCCAACGAACGATTGAAGGAACCGATCGATCGATCGAAGAGGGAGGGGAGCCGTACCTCGCGCGTCGAAAGTGGGACGGTGAAACGGCACGCGGGGCCCGGACCCACGCATCTCACGTCGAATCTGCGGCCGCATCTCGTGGGTCCAGCCCGCGGGCGGCCGTGTGACACATCTCGGAGTCATCTCACGTGTCCGCATTGTAGTTCACTCGGGCAGCCAGCTAGCCAGTCCGCCAGGTAAGGAGGCGGACGGGCAGTCAGCGACCGTCGAGGCTCGAGAAGCCGCGGAACAAGAACAGAAGCAACACTGACCTTCCCTCATACACGTGTTCACATAAAATATTACGATCCTCTGTGCGGTCACGTTCGCGACGATAATTCGCGAGTCGCGTCGGCGGCGGCGTCGCTCTATCAGTCTTTCTCGCGCTCTTATAATCGCGAGGATCTCCTCGTCGGCTAATTTAAATCGCCGCCAGAGAGACGAAGGGAGACATCCGCATTGTACTCACCTAATCGATTTTCCTTTTTTCGTTGGGACGTATTCAGGTGTTTCTAATCTATCGTTCGTCGTTTGCTACATTATATCGCTGAACTCCGTCACTGAATTTTATCATCGAGTCCCGCTACTGAACTCTGTCGTTGAGTTTCGTCGCTGAATTTTACGACTAAGCCCCCCCCATTGCTGGATTCCGTTGTTGAATTTCACTGTCGAATTCTACTGCTGGATTTCGCTGTTGAATCCCATCATTGAGTTCCGTTGTTGAATTTTACTGTTGAGTTGTGTTACAGAATTTCGTTGAATTCTTGTTGCTGAATTCTGAGTTAGATTCCGCCGCAACGATAAAAAAAAGAGGCATTCTCACCGGCCTCGCGTCTCCTCTGCTCGGGGCTTTCTTTTATATTCTCTACTTTGTGCTTGTCCAAGATTCGAAAATTCCACGCGGGGTGGAAGGTTATACGACGATTCCCGCGATTTCGGCTGAGATTAGACAGACTGCATTATTCAGAGCTCAGGTTGGCGGGACGCTCGTGTATATTTATAAGCGGGTTGCTGCTTGCTCGCGCAGCGACGGACTCTACGGACGCGAAACGTCTTCTCCTCCTCCTCTCTCTCTCTCGCGCCTGTGGAATATCCGTTTCAGTCGAGTACACCTCCGAAACGTTGAATCGGTCTTGAATTTCGGACGATCTTAAATCGCCGCCTGAATAGTGACAGGGCAGAGTTTCTCTGTGACAGTTCGACCGACTCGTCTCTCACGCGGACACTGCTTTAACACCTGACAAAGTATTCAAATTGCAAAACATAAAGTACCTTCTTGGGAAGCCGCTTCTTCTTTCCCCACGATAGTCTCTCAAGGGATTTCTCTATCAGCCGGGACGTCCTGATATCCGTTTCTACGCCAAAAGCCTGTATTTACAAGCCTCTAAACAGCTTAAAAATGGTCTGCGAGCGGCCAACAGGCAGAGTTCATAATTTCGGCTCTTTCGAAGTCCCAGAAGGCATATTTAACGCGAGGCGTAGAATAACGCGGGCGTCGTAGATAAAGACGGAGTCGGCGGCGATGGCGTTGCATCGTATCTCACACGGTATAATCCTCGAGATCTCGGAGGGGTTTCTTTTCATGTTTCTTCCTTCATCGCGAGGCATTAGCGAATCATCCGAAAACCCACGCCACCGCGTGCGAATAGCGCGCGTTGACCCCCTTAACGAGCTGACAGGCTCGGACTTTTACGTCGCTGTAAATTCAGCTCGTTACAGCTGTATCGCCTCTTTCGAGAGTCCTCCCTGAGGCCTTTACCTCGAGGCCGACCCGTTTCGGACAGTGGGCCGCGTTTTCGCGAACAATGAGCGAGTAGAATTCGTGACGCGCCGGTATCCTCCTCCGTGGAGCCTCTCGCGGGCACAACGAGCTCTTAATGATCCCCGTAGAACATGCTCTCGTACGTAGAAAAAGAGATAGAAAGAAAGAAAAAGAGAGGGGGGGGGGNGGGAGAGAGAGAGAGAGAGAGAAAGATTACGGCGTGCGTTCCTCGGCGTTTTGCAGTACGAACGAATTTCCGAAGCGAAGCGAAACGAGCAACGCCCATTATCTGCACGATAGGGTCGTCGGCGGGACGTTATTGTGCCATGAGAAAACCGCGAGGAGGAATCCTTGGGCATAAGTATTAAGGACGAGGGAGGAGGGAGAGGAAGAGCCCGTCCGAGTGTACGAGCAGGCTAAAGGAAGACTACGAGACCGTAACTTGACGCTGAAAATTATCGTTCATTTATCCGAAACTTTTTACGGCATCGTTACACGAGAGGAATCGAAGAGAAGTAATTGGGTCTATTATAGTTATTGTACTCGCATAATCAAGAAAAGCGTGCGCTAACATTGGAAGGACGTATTATTGGAAATTGAAATCACATCGATCCCGGCGAAGGAAAAAATTCAGATGGAAACGGCTTCGGAAAATTGGAGGCTATTCAACAATTACGTCACGCTAAATTTAAGTATTTTTTTACCCCCCGTCCCTGCCCTTTGTCATAATTTCGTCACAAAATATTTGTCCTTTACCAATCCTTGAAGGCTTGGGAAAAGCTGGGTTTCTTTTCTATTTTTCCGGTTACTTTCTCAAGGGTAGAAAAATTCGTTTAGAAAAATTCACCTCGGTTCGGCCAAAACGTGCCGCATTTACTTCTTTCCATAATAAAGATAATTGCGTGCGCTTAACTGAAATTAAACAAAGTTGATCTATCTTGAAAGAATTGCAACAAAGAATAAACTGCGAACAAATATGTAATACACATTTTGCGAACTTTTATAAAGAATTTTCCTACCTTTGGGAGGAGAATTGGAAACGTTCCACGGGAAATTGAAAGAACCTTTTTTCAATCTATAATCGTAAGTCAAGAAAATCAAGAAAAATGCGGCTGTATCAACGTGATGCGATGTCCACGTTTTCGAGCGCGCGTGACTACGTTCTCGTGTGAATCGCTGGTGATTTCCGACTCTGTTTTTGCAATCGCGACGCTCGATTATTGGCGGAGCGCTCGTTGGGCACATGGAACCGTGGAACAGCTAACGGTACCGGACCCTCTCGCGTACCCCAAACCCGCTGTCCTGTGTGGACCGCGCGACCCTGAGCTTCACCGTTACCCAAAGAAGAAGTCCCGCGCTCTCGCTCGCTCGCTCGTTCGCTCGCGAACGCACGGACGCGCGAGAATTTCTTTCGCGGCGTCCCACGCTCTTGGCGATTATAATTGAGCGCTTAATTACGCGTTCGTAGTCCGACGCGAGAGGAGATGCGGTCGGTCTTCTTCCGGTTTTCACCGTGGTCGCGGATCGCGTTAATCGGTGCTCGCTGGCGGAAAATCCCGGCGCCGGGGAAGAAACGATGCCGGAACGAACCGGAACCGGCTAATTGCTCCTGTTACTCGCCGTGTCATTGTTCCACATGCGATCAATTAGCATTTTAGAAACCGCCTGTTATTCACACTCTGTTAGGGAGACCGCGCCTCCTCAATGCGGTAATCATAATTCACAGTGGCGCAACCGTGGCGCGCGCGCGCTTCCATAATTATCTCGCGCGCGCGTAGATAAATCTGATAATTCCTCGCGGCACCGAACGAGATTTTAATGAATTCGAACGATGGATATTAATTTCGGCTCATTAATATGACCACAATGGGCCGAAACGTCCCGGTATTGAGATAATTTGCACCTGCGTGTACAGTATAGTAGGGTATGAGGTAGTAATTACCGCCACCTGCGGAGTGTCTTCGAGAAAAAGAAAATATCTGATTAACTACTGAATGAAAAAAGGATGAAGGAAATTTACGTTTACAGGTGTTCGAAATGATGATTGTCGGCGTCAATAGATGAATACACAGAAGAAATGCTGGATTCAAAGTAAACGATTACTCCAATACTACTTAGCAAATGTTTATTTTGGGTTAAGTAAATTTTACTTGGATTGGGTAAATATTTCATCGAAATAATCGATCTGGAAACGTATCGCCTGACCGTTTTCCTCCTGTTCGCAGATGCGCCGGTCGCGGAGCACCGTCAAGGACGCGCGTCCTTGCACGCGGAGATGCCATCGTCGAAAGCGAAGCGCGAGCAGGCGCTGCGCAACATCCTGGCGGCCAGGAGACGGCAGATCCTGAGCCAACGTTCGCATGAGCCGCCTCGGATCCTCTCAGGTCGCACAACGCGACCCACTTCGAAGGACCCGCCGGACGTCCTCGAGACCCAAGAGACCCGGCACAGTGTCCACGTCGCAAGCGCGCGAACAGAAGCCTCAACGTCGGAGGAGGAGACATCTCAGTCGCCGAAGAAGCCGAGCGAAAAAGTCACGAGCGATCTCGACTCGACGAAGCCGGAAGTAGAACCACAGGACTCGAAGACGCCGAAGAATGACAGCTCATCGTCGCCGACGACAACGACCACCACCACCGAAAGCAACGAAAGCGCCTCCACGACGAGCGCGTCCGCCAACCCGAAGCCGAACGACGCGGACGCTCGCAGGAAGAACACCGTGTCGATGCCGGAGTCGTTGTACAACCACTTCCGGCCGGTGGAGAGGAACATCCCGGTCGAGGACATGTCCCAATTCCTGTACTTTGGCCAAAAGCTGCAGCCGGACGGTCAGAACGCGACCAGCGCCGGCAACAGCTCCAACTCCGTGGAGACGACGTCGACGGTGCCAAGCTCGCGCCGGAGGTACTCCGCGAAGAGGCTGAGCGCGCTCGCGGCCCCGGTGGAGGAGATCGTCAACGAAGAGATGAACATCGCGCTGGAGCGGCGCACGGTCGAGAAGAACCAGGTGTCCAGGATGAAGAACACCTACAGGAGCCTGGGCAGCGGACTCTACCACAGGAAAACAAGGCTCACAGACGTCGGATCCAACGTGATCCCAGGTAACGAGTCGAGCCTCGCCGGCTCGGACGCGAGGAGCGAGATCAACGCGGTGGACGACCAGTCCGCTCACGCGGAGTCGCAGCAAGCCACGCGACAGAGAGGAAGCGATGCCCACATAGCCGAGTCGAGCGCCGCGCCGACCCAGATTCCGCTCTCCTCCGCGGACAATGACGCCGACGTCGCGAGAAGCGAGATCGGCGCGAAGTCGCTCGCGAATGAGACGCACGCGGCCGCCGAGAGGAAGAAACCGGGGAGCATCGCCGAGCTCAAAATCGAAGAAGAGAAGGGAGGAGCGGGAGGAGAAGGGGCGAGCGAAGACGCGAAGACGGAGGGCGAGACGACGTCGCTCTCGGCGACGACGATGAAGTCTCGCGACAGCAACAGCATCGAGACGTCGTCGACGGGCCACGACGACACGACCTCGTCGACGCTGCGGATCGTCGTGCCGGACGCGAGCTTCGGGCGCAGTTTCGCGATCGAGAGCGAGCGAGCTCGTCAAGATACCGTTAAACAACCGGTCGATCGACCGGTTCGCCTGTCGGCCGCCGGCGAAGCCGCTCCGAAATCGCCGTCGACGGCGAGCACCGCACCTGCCGTCGTCGCCGACCCGGATCATCGTCAGCCGCAGCAGCAGCAACACGTGTACGCTTACACGATAACCAATGTGACGCGATTGTTGCGCAACTACACCGGACCTGGATCAAGCGGCGAGGAAGGAGCGGGAGCAGGGGGAAGAGGAGGAGGAGACGCAGGTCGTCGTAGTAGTAGCGGTGCCGAGATAACGAGCGGCGTAGCGTCGCAGCGGCGTCAGCAGCAACAGTCGCAGCTGCAGTCACCGCCGCCGTCGTCTCCTCTTCTGCTTCCTCGTGCCGGCGACGGTATAGAACCGGCGCGGGCGCTCGCGGGACTCAGTGCCGGCGCGACCGTCGAGCCAGCCGCAGCTGCTGGAGCGTCGCCCAGTGCGCCTGTCGGCCTGGTGGGGGAACGACCGAGGAAAGCAGTCCCGCAAGTGCAGCAGCAACGCGCGACCAGTCAGCGAGCGACCTGGCCCGCGCATCCAGTCGTCCCGCCGCCGTCACCGACTACCAAGTCCACGGAAACCAGCAGCAGGGGCTCCGTCAGGTGGAGCAGCCCCGGGTCGAGGACGAGCGATCAGGAGGGTGCGAACGATCGTAGATTCCTGAGGAAGAGCGCGAGCGCGGTGCTGAACCAGCGCTCGACCGTCCACGAGGAGGCCTCGTCACCGGCGACGAGCAAGCGTCGCCGAGTGTTGGCTCCCCAGAGCCTCGGCTTCGCCACCTCCCCGACTGGCAGCCGGAGGGTGAAGAACCTGAACGAGCGGACCGAGAGTGCCAAGGGCAGGGTGTTAGTGGCGGACGATCGATCGAACGGGACGAGTCGCGGCGGAAGTCCGGACGATGAGGTGCCGGGGCCTCCTCTTCGGGAAGTCGCGCGCGCCAGCCGGCTGAACGAAGTGCCGCGCGACAGCAGTGCGCAGGAGACCACCGCCACGATCACCAGCAGCACCGTCACCGCAGCCATGGTGAACTCCAGCCGCAATTCGAGCGACGAGGCGGCGGCGGACGCGACCGACTCGTCGGTGGACGCGGCTACGACGGACAAGCCGGAGGTTGTCGCGCGGGAGGACGCCGCGGATGACGGGGTTGTCGCGACGTCCGGCGAGATGGAAAGTGACGCGAACGCGACGAGCGGAGAAATCGCGACGACCGTGGCAATGGCCGAGCAAATAAGCGAAGCCAGCACGACGACGACGGCGGCGCCGGTTTTCCCGGTCACGCCTAAGATACTGGCGGAAGCGGACAAGACCACCGTCGAAGAAACTTCCAGCCCGAAGTCGTCGGACGACACGAAGCCGCCGGAAGCGAGCAACCGGCCGTTCGGCATCGCCGCCGACCTCGACCCGTCGGAGATTCAGAAGCGGTACCGAGCCAAGGAGACGACGACCACCACCGTAGCCAGCAGCACGTCGTCGACGGCTGCAACGGTCCCGCCGAGTCAGAACGACACTCGTTCCGCGAGCCCGGCCGCGCACGGCAAGCCGGAAGCACCGACACCTGCGCAGAAAGAGAGCGGAAGGCGCCTATCCGGCGAGAGATCGCCGGAAGTGCGGGCGCGCAACCTGTCGGACCAGTCGAAGGACAAGGACGAGGATGTATTGCCGATCATGCATCTGTACAACACGTCCGACATCTTCAACGGCAGCGGGCCGATGGAAGGGTTCGCCCGCGGCACCGAGCGGCCGCGACTTCCGGTGGGCTCCGACGCGAAGGGCCCCGCTACAACGAAGAAGAGCGAGCCGGTGGAGATCGGCGGCGGCGCGTCGACCACCGTGCCGATCCCCAGAACGAGGGAGCCCACCGTCAGTCCGTCGAGCCCCCGGAAGGACAAGCACGAGGAGAGCCGGGAGGACACCAACGGCGCTCCGACGTCCCGAGGTACGTCCTCCGCACCTGCGAACAGGACGAGGTACAGGCCGCCGTATCACTCGATCCTGCCGGAGTACAACGGCACGATGTATCCCGCCGGGCTCAACAGGACGTTCTTCGAGATCGGGCCGATCTCGGTGAGCCCGCGCGAGTCGACGAACATCAGTGAGGTGATATCGAAGCGGCACGACGGCGACGTGATCGCCACCCAGGAGACGGTCGCCGTGGTCAGCTACATCCTGGCCACTCTCGTCGTCTTCCCCATCGCCGTCGGCGTCGGGCTCATACTCAGAAGACTGATACTTAGGAATCGTAAGGTGAGTTCGGGGTTTTGAGGTCGCGCCGCGCCGTGCCGGACCGCCGCCGATCGGGATTAGAAAGTATGCGGATCGCACCGGCGCTCCGGACTCCGATTCGTGACGCGCTACCCTGATATCTCGTCTCGCTCCTGCCCGCCGCGACCGAGAACGCGATTCCGCACGGCTGAATGCCGGGGACGAGATCGGGACGAATTCCCTCTCGGCTGGAATCGGACGATAGTACACCGAGGGGAAATTTATCGTTATTTTTTTTCCCCGTGCCAAGAATATCCTTTTTGTTATTTTAACCACGAGAAGAGCAGTAGAAACATGTGCGCAAAGTTATTATTACTGATACTACAGTAACGTTTATTAGAAAAATCGTTCTCCCGACTATTTTTGTGATTAAAATAACAAAAGGATATTGTTGGCACCGAAAATGACTGTGATTTTCTCTCGGTGTAGCTTGAGGAGATTTTGCTCGATGTAGGAGAAATGTTTTGTCGTGGATGTCAAGATACTATATAGCGTAGTGATTGCCTCTGAAAGTATCTTCAAGGAGAAATCGGCAGAGAAAAAGCAAAAGAGAATTCTTTTTTGAAAGTCCACCTGTGATCCCGTTGGGATCAATGGGATTGGATTAAAATTGGATTGCTTGTGGTTCGAGATGAAATTTCGGTCAATGTAAGAGACAAATGTTTTGTCGTGAATATTAAAGAACATTGAGATTATCGTTGGACGTATCTCGAAGGAAAAATCGGAAGAAAGAAAGAAAATAAAAATCGAAAATTCGACTTCGAAATTCCGCGTGATCCCGCTGAGATCAATAAAATTAGATCAGAATTTGATAACTTGCGATTCGATGAAAATTTATTCAGCGTACGATTTTGTCGTGAAAATTTCTAAGAGAGAATTCTCTCTTGATAGTCTGCGATTCGATTGAGACCAATCGAATTAGATTTTCCAACGAGACAAGTCACGAACGAGATAATTAACAAAGCGAGGCATATTAGAGATGTTAATAGAGCGGCATTAGACATGCGAAAAGCGTCAGCGAGAGGAACGATGGTACGCGAAGATACCGCGATGAGATGACGATAGTAGGATAGATAGAACGACGATAACGGCACGATAAGTGGCGCGTAATGATAACGAAGCTAATTATGGTTTTTAAATGCGAGATAATAATCCAAGTGACAATGGACGCGGACGACGAGAACGCCGGTAATAGCATTGAACTTGCGGAACGCCATCGTCTAATCGAGGATCAACTCTTAAGCGGGGAGTGAGATTATCTCGGTAATGAAATGAACGGCAAGAAAGAGCGCTACGTCCGAATCGAAATTTTGATGTCACTTTGACACTTTTAAAGATAGTTTGCATTTACTTTGATAGCGGATAGGCTGATAGAAACCTACTTTGACGATACTGACACTTTTATTAACTTCTTTCATGAATCTTTAATTCTACCGATTTAATTTTAATACCTCCTTGGGAAGCCTACGGTAAAAAAAAAAACATTTTGTGTTTATGTTAAAATTGGTCTTTGTTAAAATTTTTGTGTTAAATTCTTTTAACATATCCGTATGTTAATTTAACACAATGTGTTTATGTTATCTCGAGATATATATATTTTATATTGAATCCATATTCAATATTTATAAATGTTAAAATAACACATTTTATTTCTCAGCGTCGATTAACGTTTTAATTTTGTTTTAATTTTCAATATATTCATCTTGTATTAAATTAACGCAAATATTTATACGGGCCGTTTAGGACATGTGAAATGTGTTGAATCTAACACACAATTTTTTACTGTATATTTTGACGCTGAGATAACGCGAATGGAAATTCAAGACTCCATCAGGATGAAAGTAGTGGGAATAAATTATATTATTAAAATTGAATTTTGTTAAACCTATTTTGCTTCCTTAGTCCTAACTACTGTGTTGTAGAATTAAGGATTCAACGTAGACCACAAATTTCGACTCAGGTGTAACTCCTTTTTTAATTATTGCCCGACTGTTGCACAAATCGCCTTTCAGTGTAACAGCACCACTTACATACCGTTACGCGTCGCGCGGACGGGATTATCATCGCATGTATGCATTTATCATACGGTCTAACGTTAATCAGTTGCGTTTCGTTATCTCCCGGTCTGGGCGTGAGCAGCACGGAATTACGCCGGCATTTTGATAATTAACGTGCAGGACCGTTAACGCGCGGCCATGTCGGGTCGTCATTGTTACGGGTCATTACGCGTCGTTAGGCGACCCAGAAACGCCGCGGTAAACCAGCAATTATCGGAAAGTGCCGTCTCCGCGGTATCGTGGTTATTCAGAGCAAATTTTCGCGTCATCGCGCGACCCACAATCCCGAAATCAGTGAAACTGAGAACGCGAACTCGGGAAATCGGAATGAAGGGGAACCGATCCGAATCGAAATTTTAGTCCTACATTAAGTCTACTCGGTTCCACGTTAAATCTTCAAGTGGAGAAACGGAAATAATTTTTCATTTGTAGAGTTAAAGAGGCGCTATTAATGCTACAGAGGGAAGATTTCCCGAGGGGAAATTAAAAATTCTACATTATGTTTTCTAATCGAGCAAACGGAAATAATTTCTCTTGTGTATAGCATGAAAAGGATAGAATGGAAGATATTTGAAGACTCAATGTAGAATTAAACAGACTTAATATTGCGACTCGGGCAATTTTCGAGACTGAAAAATTCGAAACGCTAAAATAAAGCGGATGTTTCATCCTCTGCTTGAATCCTTTCGGAACGTTGCGCGTTGTGCGGTCTGAAAGGAAGAAAATTAGAGACTTCGCGTGTGGAGGATATATCGCCATATTTAGAGTGAGGAAAATTTTCCTGCGAGGCTCGTAAACTTCGCGTTAAATTAGCGCTCGTGACTTCGCCGTGAATGAAAATCAAACGCGGTCATCGAGTAATTCCTTCGCGAAGGTCCCGCTCGATGATTCACGAAATGCTTAACGATTCCTCGCCGCCTCCCCGCCCTCCCATTTCTCCTCATCCTTCCGACCAAGCAATTACTACAAGTTCATTGTATGCAGAATAATCTCGGGGGTCTCTCTTGCGAGATGTCTACGAGCAGGCGAGGGGGGAGGGGGCGGGGAATCGCATCGACGGACGGAGCGATGTGCTATAATAATGAGAGGATTAATGCGCCGTTGGATAATGCGAAAATTGTCCGACCATTGTCTGCAATGAGACTCTTTCCGCGGAATTTTCCTGCTGGGCACCTGGCGAGAAGATCGCATCGAAGGTCGGAAATCCTCTCGCGTCGGAAAATTGAGAATGTTTGCGCCGGAATGCAATTATTATTCATCGCGCCGATAACGCGTTTCTCTTTGCGGGGATACCTCGTAAATTCTTGAAATCTTTAAGGAAGGATTTCTTTAATTAACATTCTTTAATCTTTGAGGAGGCGCGCTCGCTTCGGGTTTTTTCTTCGTCATGCAAACTGAAGAAGAACCATATCTCTGGAGTAACTTTTTATTGCGATTAAAATATTGTTAAATTTTTAAATAACAAAAAGTCAATATGTATTCTCCGAGTACTCTGGTCAACAAATTTCGTATCACAAATTGTATCCTCTTTGAACTTGAGTTTTTCTTATTTATATTTACGCGTTGAAACTGAAAGTGACAATAAAAACAATTATTTATAGCTACGGCTTCAAGAAATATACAGGCCATATTTTAATTTTTGTAAATTGATAGTACGAGAGAAGGAGAAGTATGAGAATAAAACAACAGAATATATTTTTATTGTAATTTCTTATTTTTATGTTTCATAGTGTTAGAAAAGTTTAAATTTTTCAAAAATTTCAACTTTAATTGTTATATTTGTGAGAGATCAGCATCGCAAAAAATTAACTATTAATTACAATCTATTTATTAGAATCAACGTTTTAAATTCAGGATACAATTTTCATGTTGGCCAGAGTGACATCGAGAATGTTCGGCTGTCGAAATCGACGGTATACGCGAAGGATGACGCGTGGGGCGCAATTTCCGGAAATGACACAGGCGAAATCCCCTCACGCACGCTCTCAAGAGCATTCATAAATAATAACGCGGGCATAAATTTAAATTTAACCCGACAGTCATGGAAATAAACCTGAATGGCGGTACAAAGGTGCGCGTGGACGTAAAAGAAAGAATAAGGAGGCACACGGCCGCGGGGAAGGGAGAAGGAACGGGGGAGTACAAGGGCCAAATAAATAGGCGGGTCCGCGTTTGGGAGCCGTCTGAGGCCCTGACGCTAAACTCGGGCGTGCTGTGTTCCCCGAGATTGAAATTTCACCATCGACAGGCGAGGCGATCCGCTTTCCTGACGATTCTCGCATGACACACCGGCGACTTCGCTCGTAGATGCTTTTCTACGAAGCACACCCGCGCGCGGAGGACGATAACGCGCAAATGTCGCAGTAAAAAGCCGGCTTTTATTTCGCATTGTCCCGTACGCGCAACTTTTCGAGATTATTTCGCTTCTCGGTAGTAAATCAAATTCGCGTCATCCGTCCGATAATTCCCCAAGTGTCGTCGATATCGACGAACGGCGACGAACGAACAACAACAATTCCAACGACTCCCGCGAGTCGTTTGCATTTTTTCTCTTTTCGGTCAATCGCGGAACTCAAGTCCCAATTTTGAATCGCTCAACCGTCCGACTGTCGAGAGACCGAATGAATTGAAGTCGCGTCGAAGGCCGAGCCGGGATTATCGGCGGATTAAAAGAGCTTATTCCCGTCGAATCGAGCGGGACTGCGAACTTTCTCAAAGACACGAGCGAGAATTTCCCGCGGCTGCCTTTTGCTCTCCCCCGCTCTCTCGCACACCGGCTGGATAATCCTAGAAATTATTAATATAACTTTATCCCGACGTTATTATTAATACCGGGGACATCATTCCCTCATTACGCGCGTAATATCGCCGGGTCTCCCCGCAAAACTGTCTCGCGCGCGGTGGTTAAGGGAAAATTTAATACGGGGAAATGCGATTTTGCACGAATACGCGGAGGAAGAAAGAGAGAGGGAGGGGAAGGGATAGAGAGGGACCTCCCGCTGGTCGCACTCAGTTATAGAAAATACTTTAGTGCCGCTGAGGTTAATCCGGTTTCTCCCAAGAGCCGCGACGGATACCGCGGTCGGCCGTGCGATTTTTGCGCCGTTCGCGCGTATCTTAACGCCGTCGTAAGAACGTCAACGTCGTATTCGCGCGCGCGATTCGCGTACGGCCGATTTTATTTCGGCGATATAGTCCGCGGAAATACGCCCGGGTCGTCGCGATCTATCTCGTCTGATCCGCGTCGCGGAGATCCGTATCGCGCCGGGCCAATTAACACCGGGAGTGACGACTCGCGCGATCCGCACGTGATCGCGGCACGCGGCATGCAGATTTCGCTTCTGACGGCGATTCCTTGCGCAGGTGCTCGAGGAGTCGGACACGTCATCGGAGATAAGCTGCAGGAAGGACGCTCTTAATCTCGAGAATGGCGACTTCAAGACGTCCATCGAGAAGGCGATCACGAAGCTACCGAGGATACAGCACTTGGTGAGATACGCACGGGAGAGGAGATTAATTGTCGAGATAGGCATTCGAGGCGGGCTTTCGATCGAACGTGAAATGCAAACGGCCGAGTGAGAGTCCGAATAGAGGGGGAGAGAGGGAAAGAGATAGTCGGTGTGTAGCAATTAACGAGCGCGCGACCGGTAATTCAATGGACGCGCGCAGCTCGCGGCGATTTTTCTTTCTTCGACTACCCGTCGGGGTAGTTTTGAACGTCATTAGAGATTATTGTTGCGAAACTGTTTTCACCGCGCGTTCACGACTCATTCGCGTGTCGCGCGAGAAAAGCTGGATTTTTCCCGGCGCGCTTCGCGCGTTAGAGAAATCACGGACGCGCGCACGAAGCGCGGTAGTACTTTATTGGAATATCTAATTAATAACATCGAGATAATTTTCACGAATGTCCACGATCGTTCGCACATCGCACGGAAAGAAACTAGTTTGATCGCACCGCGTTCTTTTTTTTTTCTTTTTTTCGCGCGTAGGAAAATCGTTAACGCGCCCGACGCAGTTCTTTTTCCGTTTTTTCAGCTTATCAGAGTGTAATTGAAAGATAATACCACAGAACGTCAGGAATAACGTTGAAGTGATTCTTACAGTTACATTCACGATCGTTCGCGTGTCGCACGGAAAAGGGAAATAGATTCCTCACGCCGCGTTTCGCGAGCGGGAAAGTCGCGCCGCGTCAGCGGAAAATCCAGCGAGTTCCTTCGCCCGACTCTTAAAGGAAGTTCTACGTCGATGACGCGTAAATTCCGCGCGACACATCGAAGCTCGCTCGCTCGCTCGCTCGCCTTCGCGCCTATCAATCAGCGGTTATTTTTAGACAATTCTAATGTGCAGCCGAACACACCCGTCGCAACTCTCTTTCTCCCTTTCTCTGCGCAGTGTCACGAAGCTGAGAAACCGCCGCCTCCGTCGACCCAGGAATCCAGATGGGAGTTTCCTAGAGATAAGCTTAGGTTACAGACAGTCCTCGGGCAAGGAAACTTCGGCCAGGTGAGAGGCATTATTTCCAGCGTGGCGCGCTATAAAAAACCAAGCCCGTAATTCGCGTCCGTCGGACGGGCTTTTGCTCCCTTCTTTTGTTTTTTTTTTTCTCCTTTCACGAACTCGCCCGGAACTCGGCCGGAACTCGCGCGGAAATCTAATCTTCGCGACAAGTCCCCGGCGAAGTTCCTGCCGGCGCGAAGCAAAAGGGGCGATTTCACTCGCGCTCGCTAATTTTCTCGCGCGAACGCGATGTTCAGTTCGCTTTTATTCGCAACAGCCCGCTTTCAGCGCGGTACAATCTTGACCGCGCCGCGCACACGTATTCATGAGACGTAATGGGCGGTTAGCGTAATATCGCGGTATAATCGAATTGATTACGCGAAATCGACGGTGGGAAAACCGTGGGGAACGTATAATCCGTCGCCGGTGGAATTTTTCCCCCTGACAAGAGCGGGCAGCGAAAAAAGGACGGAGTGATCGCGCCGTCGGCTGCGTGCCCCGCGGAAATGATCACACATTTTCCGACCGAACTGATCTCAGGTGTGGAAAGCCGAAGCCGACGATCTGACCGGTCATCAGGGCACCACTCGATTGGTGGCGGTGAAAACCGTCAAGGAAGGCGCCTCCGAGCGAGAGAAGGAGGACTTGGTTCGGGAACTCGAGATCATGCAGCAACTGGGGAGTCATCCGAACGTCGTCACGCTTTTGGGCTGCTGCACCGAAGAAGGTAAGATGAACCTCACGTCGCAACTTCCGCGATGTTATCGTACATATCAATCGACGTGCTTAGTCGAAGGAAAATTTCAATTTGAGAAAATCTCAATCTCGGTACGCTCGTTCGAAACGTTCATCGCGTTGATTGTCACGATGACTTCTATCGATCGTTTTCTAACTACAACAAGAGAGAAAGAGAGAGAACAAAAAATAATAATTTTTACTGTAAAATTCTTTCCATTTTTATGATTTATTATATATGCAATTAGTTATATACGTAGATATCTTATACTTAATACGACGTAATATCATAGTACCGGTCTGACCTTCGTAGTAATTAACGTGTATTAACGTGTCATTATCTGAAGTAAAAAAAGTCAACATCGTATCATTTTCTTTCTTCGATTCGTGGAAAATTATTTCTTCATTTCTTTGCGACACACCGCGATATCATGTGATAAGTAAATCTAGAGAGACGGAGAAAAAGAAAGAGTGAGAAAGAGAGAGAGAGAGAGAGAGAGAAGAGAGATTGTAGATAGGGAGAGAGATAAAGAGAGATAGAAGCGCGATAAAAATATATGAATCAGGCCCTCGGGTTGTGTAATCCATAATTGAAAGAGATTAATAAGAGCCAACGCTGGTAAAAGTAGCTGCAGGATTAAAAATTATTAAGTTTGTAAAGTCGATGAATTCAAATATTTCGATCGTGGATTTCGACCCTCTACAGTGAAAAAGACTACTTTAGTAGACTATCTTAATAGACTTTTTAAGTCTAATAATTTTTAATCCCATAGCTACCTATCAGCATCGGCTCTTATTAGCCTATTTCAAATAAGAATAGACAGAAGCGTTTATTGTCGCTTTAGGATTAAACTTCCTAAGAGTGTTACGATAAGCGACTCGTTACTAATGTTTTGCAAATTTCATACACAATTTAAGACATAAATATTGTAGACATGTTAGACTATACTATCGTATATTATTACATTTCGAAAAACCTTATGTTATAATTATCGCTCTGTAGTTCACATGCAATCGTTAATATTTGGATTTCTTAAAAAGAAGTTGACAGAGTTTTGTTTGAAGGCATTTTGGATTGTGTCAGAGAGAGAGAGAGAGAGAGAGAGAAGGAGAAAGAGAAAGCGACAGCCCTCTTGTTGGATACGACGACACATGGGCAATTTCCTGCGGAAATGCATCCGCGGTTGTTACTGCGATTTGCGTAGAGCAGCAATTGGCGTTACAGCCGTTGTTACAGTCGAGATGAATCTTCCTCATTACCGTCACTTACGTTTGACCTTGCGTGTCGCCGCTCGAGCCTCGGCAGCGTGAACTTTATAAAAACTAATGGCGCTTTAACTGCCGCTACTTGCACGCAGAATGCACGGATCGTGGTGTATATGGTAATTAAGTAATCAAGCAATCCCTGCTGTGGAGCGGAGCGGCGTAGATATAGATAGAACACGGTTGCGTCCGGCGACGGCTCCTGCAATCAGGACGCCGCCGCCGCAGCGATGCGGCTTGGTGGATGCGCCTTCCACCACACCACCGGCGGTCGTCCTTGCGGTTTAATCGAATTCGAATTTGCGTCCAACTTCCGCGAACGACCCGTCGAGCGCGGTTTCCAGCGTTTCCAGCATTTCCGACCGATCCGGGTTTAAAGCGCCCCGAGGGCGACTGATGACATCGTAAGCTTTGTCTCAAGTTACCCAACTTAGGCAAAAAGAATTATATGTCAATTTTATATCCCGGAAAGTTCGTTCCAAATTTTAAACGAAAATTACTCATTAGTTATGTGTTATTGACTGATGAGCTGAAATTTTAGTTAATTGGCTCTCGTATATTCTCTTTTTACGTTTATGTAATATACGTGGAATGTTATTTTAATCGTACATAGAAAAAAACGTACTAGATTCAAGTAAATAATTATTTCAATACTTCTTAGCAAACTTTTACTTGCATCAAGTAGATTTACTTAAATTTACTTAAAATATTTTCCGTAAATATTTCCGTTTATTACGTAAAATATTTTCCAAGTAAATATCCAAGTAAAAATTAGTTAAGGAATATTGGAGTAATTATTTACTCGAATCTAGCGCTTTTTTCTGGGTACTTAAAGTCGAAACAACATATACAAATGTAAGAAAAAGAATAGTAATGGAAAAGAATGTGAGTGGCAATTGGTTGATATTTCATTTAATATTTAATATTTTATGAATATAGTTAAATTATTAAACCCAAGTTTCGTTACTCGCACTTTTCCGTTCTTCGTGCACTCCTCGTGAATCTCCGCGCACGAAGGATGCAAGTGTTCCACTCGTATGTCGCGTTCTCTTATCGATTGATAATCGTTCGCACGTTTCGAACGGTTGCGCAACGAGATAATTCTGCAACGGGCGATAACGATTAATCGACAAACGCGAAAACATTTTTTTCTCTCTTTCTTTGTTTTTCCTTTCGTTTTGTTCGCTTGTTTTACGGTTGTGTTCATTTAGACAGTGTAATTTGAACAGCAATTATGATAATCGCGCGCGCGAATTGCCTTGTTTCGTAGACGAAGATTTTTATTCTCATTACCGGCCGTTGTCTACGTCGCGCAACGTGAATAATTGCGGTTAAACTTTTCCGCAAACTTGACAGCCGCGAATTAAGTCGTCGTAAACAATTTGCCGGTCGGAGGAACGCCGTTTTTCTCCCGCGTCGTGACGTCGGCGATTTCCCGGCGCTATGAAACTGCTTGAAAATTCGTCTCGTGGAGCCGGCTGGCGGAAAAAAAGCGAATGAATAAATTCTCGATATCTCACCGTTCGAAGTCCGCCGTGTTTCATTTGTTGATACTGTCGCGAGCAGGTTTTCCTCGCGCTCCGCGAGGCGCAAAAGCATCGATGATCCCGCTCGGCGTGGCACGAATATGATCGATGACGTTCCCCGTTATTTCATCACCTCATGATTGATTAAAAAAGCAAGACGGTACATCGCTCTCGACAAAGTCGAATCGCGTGATCGAAGGTGATTGATGCCGCGGGCTTTCATTATCGATGGCAAACGCGCAACGAATCGGCAAATAATTCGCCTGCCGGACGATCGCATCGTTTAAATTACCCCCGTGAGGGTCGGGCCCTGTCGCGAAATATCGTAAAAGGAAATTCATTATGCCCGCCCGACGACTTCCCGAGAGCGAATTATGTAAGACGCGCGCGGAGCTTAATCGAAGTCTCGAAATGGAATAATTCGCGCGCGCCGGACGAACGCGCACGACTGAATTACTCCGTAAGGACGGAGTCCCATTGCGAGTTAACGGAGAAGGGACCCGAATGGAAATTACATCTCGTAGGTGTCTAGCCACGAGATAGTAAATTTGTGTCTAACGTCGCTATTAACCAGTAATCAGATGTCATATTAAATATATATTAAATTAAATGGGTTTAATTAAACTCTATTGTGTTGTCTGTAGAATTTACTTAATTTAGAGAACAAAGAGGTTTATATAATTTTTTTACGTGAAATATGTGTCTTCTCTGGTTTCATACTGTAAATATCATTGACTGGCATTACCCCGAGATTGGGATAATCTCAATCAGATCTCGATTTTTCGCTTTTTCATTTGTCACTCTGGTGCACATTTTTATGAAATTTTCACACCAGCCTATATTATAGTAAATACCTGTAGGTATCCGTTGCATCAAACAAATGCTGAATTCGACATTTCTTACCAGTTTTATGAGAATTTCCGGTTAGGCGGCCCCGTTTTATCCTATATACAACTTTCATTATCGAAATATCCATATTACCGCAAGAAAGTTACGCAGTAACGAGCTAGTAACAAGCTAGAAAATATAATCTAAACCGGCCGGCTACTAGCTTTCGATTCAAGTCGCGACTGGATACGTTTCTATTCGGGAAATTGATTGTTTCTTCACGTTTCGCGCCCGCGCGATTTTCCGCGCGCGGAGAACGAATTCATGGTAGAGACGTCAGAAATTTGCCCCGGCGATCTCGCAATGTGTCAGGATGCAATTCGAGCGGGAACCGAGCGGGACCATTGTACGTCTTTCCTTCCACGTTGCTCGATATCGTTGCTTCTCATCGTTCGTATAAATTTCCATACGCATCTGCGCGCGTTCGCTCGCGCAACCGTGCTCTTCGCGGCACAATACGTCTATTAAGTCGGTATCCCCGTTCCATTTGCGGATCAAAAGGTGGCCAGGTAAAAAAGGCGAGCGCGACGATATGATCTGAGTACGATCGAGGCGCTCGACGGCCCGCCGGCTGGTTATCGTCCGGTTTCGATTAATGAAATTATCGTCGCTATTGTGCCCGCCCGCCGCCGCCGATCCTCGCGTTAATTAAAACGCGCGCGTCGTGAACATCGAGCCGGTGAGATCTCGTCTCGGCGAGACTACGTATATAACGCCCTCCTTGACACATTACAGACCATGTACACATTTCTCTGTGTTGAAGTGGTTTTAAGATCAAGTTTTATACTTCTCGCTTATTTTCAAAGGACGTTAATAATAGGTGGTTAATAATAGGTTGATATTGGAAAATTGTACAATTTACATAAATATGACGTAAAAAACCGTTCTTATTTGCCAATTCTGGGGCCAAAATCGGCCCAGAATTTACTCATCGTCCTTTTACTCGGTCCTGGAGAAAGTTAAGAAAAAAAATAGCAACCCGTAAAGTGTTAATTAATTTGTGTCTCGCGCGCGAATTCCTGCATTCCTTTGCGATATTAAAAATTTTTCCTCGTTGAGAATCGGGAGAGAATGAGGGAGAAAGAAAGAAAAAGGCTCGTTGATAAAATCTCGCGTTAAGTTTTTTGCGAGAGAGGTCTAGACGACAATATAAAATATTGTCGTCCTCTCAATATTTTCCATTCCGACAAACGCTGAAGTACAGCGACGAGGCGCGCAGCTAATCAGTTATTCGGCGATTCGCCGAAAAGGATCGTTCGCGTAGGAAAATTGGCGAGCAATCAAGTCGACGGGGAAGGAGGAGGAGAGAAATTCG